AATGCTGAACAACAAATTTTACAAATGTAAGTTGTGTTGACCTGAAATGTTGTATGCTTTTCTTTCGAATACTGTATCATGTGTATATCAAACTCTCCGAAACGTGAAAGCGAAATATTATTTGCCTAAATCGTAGATTACAAATAGTGTTGATCAGCAAACTTAAGGAATATAAGTCTGACTATAACAATATCATGCGAAGAGATAAATTTAGATGTATCAGTTAACAATTGCTGCTCCATTTCTCATTGCATGATGAAAATAAATTCCATGCAAAATCCGAATTCTAGGTAAATTCTACATAACAATACTGAAAACGAAACATTTGGGGTATACGCATGTTTTTATGGTACTTTGAACGTTAATCTTTGGGAATGTACAAGAATTTTAAAGTAATTTTGCATCTTTAAACTTTTACTAGAATCACGAATTGACCTAGACTATTGTTTAGAAACGTATTTGTAGACACTATTTTGTACCACTTTTTCATACCGTTTGTGTAGTACTATGTGTCATAACAATGACATGATTATACCATACCACTATACGGTTTATGCACATTGAAGAACAGTAGTATTCATAACATACCTCCATACCAAATACCAAATATAACACAGCTATAGCATGGCAGTTTTACAGTATGTCTTTTTTGCCCCTTACGAACATATCATAAACCGATTAAAACATATAAAATGTATATTGAAGTTTGTAACTGTCCTGCAATATCAACTGCCACTTTATTAATGTCGTGTACTTAGCTATTACTTCAATAGAACATGATCACTACTATCAAATTTTAATTGACAAATTTATCCATAAATTTAGCTTGTGTTCAAGTCAAGATTGAATACAATTATGTAATTATATTGAAATAGTTTAAGCTGTAGGAAAAAATCTTATGTTTAAGAAAACCTCAGTCTTTCCTCCTTTCCTTAAGAGTGGTGTGTTTCGAGTCGGAATCAGTGGACTAGTTTAGTTTAAGTGTTTTGTGTTATGTTTGTGATGAATTTAACACGTTCGTATCAAATTCATTAACAAAAACAATACATTTGCAAACGAAATGTCAGAAAAAAAAACCCACTAATGATTAAATATAACACTTTTAAAGTATGAATCGGACTTCATATTTCACCATTTATTTTGATAAATAATCATTATAATTAAGGCCAACAGCGTATTGTTATCTATCATCAAGTCCATGTTTATCATATGACAAACACGTGAATATATAATATGATTTAGTTTATCTAACAAATCAAATAGATATTACAGCATTAATATATCATTGTAAGGCCAGACGTTTGAAGGGGCATCCGCATGGTGTGCACGGATATGATACAAATAAATGGCAGGTAATACATTTAACATTTTCTGGCCGATTTTTATTGGTTAGTTTGAGTAGAAAACTCTTCTTCTTTTTTTTATTCAACAACAATATTGCACATTTCTTCTTCACTGGTACAGCTATTTCAGTGGAGATACTTGTATATTAGTACCTAAAGACCAGGGTATCTATGTTTACTAAGTTAGTATATAAATTATTTGTCATTAATACATTATTTATCATTAATACATTATTTATCATTAATACATTATTTATCATTAATACATTATTTATCATTAATACATTATTTATCATTAATACATTATTTATCATTAATACATTGTTTTTTCTATTTTAACTCTAAATATGAACTTTATATCAAAAACAGTATTCGTTAATATATCATTATTAACTATCTGATAGATGTTGAGAGTAAAAAAGAAAAGAAAACCGGGTTATAGTAGCCTTTTCGGAATTTGGTTTGTGGTTTAATATGTTTTTCTATCGTCCGGTATAACGGTATTTTCAGTTTTTTTTGTGTGGATTAATTTAGTTGCACTAAGTTTTATGCCAAACATATGTGTATTATCCACGGAAGGTATGTATACGTAAAATGTTTGGTCTGATATAGTCAAGATGGTTTGTATTTCTTCCGTATAATCTAAATTTAAAGTATGTAAATATGTGTGATAAATTAAGAGGTACATTGAAATTGTAAAATGAAATAATCATCTATCAAACAAGTCAAATACATAGAGCTCTGTAAAATACATATATAATAACAATATAGACAATGATATTACAACAATGTTGTCAAATATAAGAATATATCTTTTTATAGAATTTTTAAAATCCAAATTTTTGTAAAGCAAAAAACATAAAATCTCACTCTAATGAATCAAATGCCTTAGCAAAATCTAGAAAAAGTAAAGCACCTCTATGTTAAATTATTCTGCATAATCTATGACATCTTGAATTTGTCTAACGTTGTATCCTATATATCTATTTTTTACATACCCATTTTGATCCCCATGAATAATTTGAGGTAATATTTTAATAATTCTTTGAGCAAGTGAATAAGCAACTAATTTTGTGTCAACATTCAATGATATTAATGGTCTATAATTGTCTAAACAGATAGGATCATTTTTTTTTATGTAAAAGGGAAATAACTCCAAAAGGTTCTGTAAAGTTCTACACTTAACCCACCAATTCCTGGAGCTTTATTTAGTTACATTTCAAATAATGAATCTGTGCATTCCTGAATGCTTAAAGAACCTTCCATAATATGGCCTTCTTTATCTGTTAGGATATGATCACATTCTGTATTCATTACATAATCTTTTATAAAAATTTTATTAGGATTTGAACTTTTATAAGAAAGTAGAAAACTCACCTTTACGATACATTTGTTCTCCTTCTTAGTATTATTTTTGTCGTTGTCTTTACTAACACATTTCCGTCTGATTAGCCGTTCATCTGAAATGCTATAAGAACTTAAGCGCTAAACATTTTTAAAAACAAAACAAAAACTACAATGATTTCTAAATATTAATTAAAAAAAAAGAATTGTAGCTTGAACAAATTTGTAGTGAAGGGGATAGCAGGGCGACAGAGGGTAGCAGAACGAATAAAGAACTGTGATAAAGGAGAGGGATTAAAAAAAAAGAAAACAGGTTGATAGAAATTACAAAAGGGTTATTTGTTTTCTGGTGGGAGAAAGGAGAAAGGAGAAGAGGTGTGAAAAAAGGCGGAACGCGTTTAAGATGGAAAAATACTACTTATATTACCAATGTCCCCCTCTTCTGTAATTTGTTTGTAAGTTATGTCGTTAACTCTTCGGGAGGACTAGAATTTATTCCATGATAAAAAAAACAATACTTGGCTAAAGTGTCATCACGTAACATTTTCATAATTATATAGTCTATTCATCAAAATTCCATAATTGAAAAAAAAAAATTATAATTTATAAAATGTATTAATTTATAAAATGTATTAATTGGGATTATATCAAATGATGAAAGTGGCTTTATAAGAACCTGGTGCGATAACCTATATTTAAGTTTTGACGTGAGAAGAAACATACAACGTATTTTTAGGGAACGATCATTTGATATTCTGCCGAAAGGGGGGGGGGGGATTGTTGAAATACATATACTGGCCTATGGTTATAACAGCCACTCAACAAAATAAATCTGTTCAAATCAGGATGAAAAGGAATATTTAGCAAAATTAAATGTAGGAAGTAATTGTGTTCAAAATTGTAAATAAATTATCCAAGTGAAAAACCACGTTAAAATAATAAGCGACCCCCCTCCCCACATCAGATGGTCGCCATTTTCCAAAATGGCAAAGTGTGATGTTTCAAATTTTTGGCTGGAGTTGTTCTGCTTTCAACCGACTGGCTCTCCTCTCATGACTCTTTAAAATCTTTACATGTAATGACTATGAATTTGTATAAGTTTTTCTGTTTAATTTCTGTGAGGGGGCCTCGGTGGCCAAGTGATCTAAGTAGTTCTACTACTGTAATCACTAGCCAGTCAACAGTGAGGTTGTGAGTTCGAACTAGACTCCAATCTTAATTGACTAGGATTGTCAGTTTCCGTATCAAAGGTCGGTAGTTTTCTCCGGGAACTCCGACTTCCTCCACCAATAAAAACTGACCGCCATGAAATAGCCCAAAAGTGGCGCTTAAAAGTGGCGTTAAAACACCAACAATCAATCAATCAATTTCTTTGATTCTAATCTATATTTCCTACGGACCAATCCATTAAGAAATAAGCACGTAAATCTAGAAGATTCTTCAACATATAATCTTTAACGTATATTTGTTATCGTGTTTCTATATCACGTATATTAAAACTGAATCTCTACACATAATTGCACGTTTACTTCCAAGGCAAATAATTAACCAATGTAAAACAGACAATACAATATTAAGGACATTCCTCAAACAAATTCCTTAAAAATAGAAAATGGTTAATAGCATTTTTCATTACAATCCAAAGAGTCCTAGCAAAACTTCATCCATTTTACATCGCAACAACTCATCCAAATTGAAGCTAAATTGCAATTTTAGTTCTATGTTGACATCAATCATGTGAACATTGTATTTCATTCCCTATGAAGAATATCATTTTTTTATTTCATGTTTATTTCAGACACAGAAACAAAAACCATATCATTAGCACTGTATCGTTATATGTGTCAGAACATAGTTGGAACAGAAAATCATGTAAAAACAATGAGACTGAAAAATACATGTACTATCAGGGATAATTTTACAAGCAACAAGGAGGGTACCCTTATCGCAAGTGGAAGTTTTGGTGAAGGACTTGGGATGAGAGGAAGTGATTTGGATATGATGTATGTAACTAAAGACATGGAGGTTTATGAAGACATTAAAACGGCTTACAATTCAAATTTTACATATTTGTCGATGGACACAGATGATGTAAAGCTTGGTTTTACTCAGTTGCAAGTAGAACAAATTGATAGTCAATTTATATTTGAATACTGTGAAGAATGTAATGGAAAACTGTATTTCTCGAGCACATTATTTAAACAAGAACTCTTGCGTAAAACAGATAGTGTAGTTCATGGACCATGTTTATCAAACAAAACAGGAACGTATGACCAAGCCACATGCTTACATAGTACAGCATGGATATCACAAGCATCACAGTGGATAACAAGATCAAGTAACGCATGGCCAAATTATAACGTCAAACAAAGTATTATAAAACATGGAGTACTTTTTGTACCAATCGGAGTTAAGGGATCGCCAAAAAGAGGATATAGAATGGCGAATTTCTTTTTCTGTTGGTGAAAAATTTCTAATTAATACTTTTACACATACTCAGTTAATATGTTATGCCCTACTGAAAATTCTTTTGAAAGATGTAATAGCCACCTACAACGAATGTGACAATTTGCTATGTTCATATTTTTTGAAAACAGTTATTTTCTGGATATCAGAAGAATTACTACAATCAATATGGAAACCAGGAAATCTTATCCATTGTTTCATCCGATGTTTAAGCAGACTGATTTATACTGTTGACTATTCAGTTTGTTTACATGACTTCATTCCAGAGAACAACATGTTTGAGAACAAAATAGAAGGACGTGCTCGTGGAATACTTTTACAGAAGTTTTATACACTGCATAGTTACGGATGGCGATGCATGCTATTTTCAGATCAATTATCTAACTTTCATGTATCAATGTGGATGGTTGACATTGCACCACTGGTATTGCATTCTGACATAGTTGAAAAAATACTGAACTCAAGATTATTAAATGCTATGCTATTTATTCCTGGAGCTAATATATACAAACCAGTAATACATCAGATAGTTTCCTGTGATCAATCTTCGAACAAATACTTGCATATATTCCATATGTCATTGTTGTGTGCACAATATGCGCAATCTTTACCACTGAACAGTAACAGTGTTAATAATAAATATCAATACCTAGAGTACAACTCCTGTCGTTGTACTCTGCTACAGAATATATATCATGACGCTGTATCCGGATGGGTGATGTTAGCTTCGTTTTTCTGTAAGACAAAACAAAACGGTAAAGATTTATACGTCATCATGTATTCTATTTCGAAATTTACTCCTGAAAAATTATACTGGTTAATGGGTATGTCAGACAATAATTACCGATCGCTCGAAATAAAATCATTCAAGAAAAGTATTGTTCAATTACTGAAAATAATGGTTGTAGATGACATCATATTTTAAAGTAACTCTGAGTTATTACCAGATGAACTACTAATGAAATTCAGAATTGGAAAATAGACATCATTCTTAACCGTCTTTACCGTATGCTTTTTTTCTTATTTTCTTTGCCATTATCATCTAAAAGACATCAGACAATGTCAAGATTGCCTTCTTTATTTACAATTGGCAATAAAAGGAAATTTATTTCACGAAAAAAAATACGACAAAAGCTAAAGCCTACAATTTTCTTGGTATAGCTTCACAGATGTTAGGCGACAATAAATCTGCCCGACATTTATTCATGCAATCAGTAGAAATACTTCCGGATCACCTTTATAACACTTCTGCAAAGCGCCTTTCATTATTGAGCTCGCTATGATATATGTGGATTCACATGTTCAGATCAAATACTCGTAAAAGGACGAAAGATATATTTCAGAATGTTATTTCGATACAATAGTGGAATTTATGTTTTATTGCAGTTTTTTGTACAACAATTTGATATAATCCTTTTGATACTGGAAATTACAATGCTACCGCTTAGTGTAACCTAAGAAATATATATCCTCTTACTGAAGATAATGACTCGCGGATTATTTAAATGCATTTTGTAAAGTGCTTCCAGGCAAAAGAGTACATTTGTAATGATCTTATTTTTCAATCATTCTACATCATTAAGGAATAATACTATCAAACGTCTTACAGTGACTGAAGAGGTTGCTGTACAAATGAATTAGTACAGACACTAAACGTTAATAAAAAACTCTCTATCACCATATTGCAGGTTATTTATGTAATTTTAAGCTACCGTGGATTTTTTGTTATTCGTGAGATACAAATTATCATGTATTCACGTGGGTATATCTTAACCAAGAATTTAAATTTCAACATAGAACAAGTTTCTATAGAGTTATCTGATGATTTTGGAAAAACCACAATATCAATAAAAATGCCAATTGGTCGTGAACAATTGAGAGGTCTTTCCTTTTCGTAATTTTAAAATACATGTTTTAGTAGGCGTAGAATGCATAGAAAAGCTCTAAAACACACATAAAACCCTAAAACACATAATTCTCTTCGTGGGCCATGACCTTGCCTTTTGACCTTATGACCTAAGGAAAGGTCAGTTCAAAATACCCTATGGGTCTAGGACCTTTGGTTCAATAGTTAAAGCTAATTTTGTCTTTTCAGAAACTGTTAACTCGGGTTATGCCCCTTAAGTTTATGTCAAAACTCTATTCCATACTTCTGTAAGTATAATGGTTTTTGAGATATCACATAAAAAGTCATGAGGTCAAAGGTCAAAGTCAACCTTAAATAGCTTTAAAACACACTGAAAAACATTAAGATAAGGTCAAAAACACATAATGTTCTGTATTAAAAATGTTACATCTACTATTCATGGCCTTTAAAGTAAAACAAATAAGTGGTTGCTATGGACTTATATCTCGTTGCTCTGGACAAAAATGTCATTTTCAATATTAAAAAAGTCATATTTATATTATTCATAGCCTAGTAAGGTAAAAAAATATATGGATGCTAAGATTTTTTATGTCGTTACTAGGAACATTGTCCCGTAACCTTGACCTAATTTTGTAGACCATATTTTGCTAAACTTTTTTGCAATCAGAGTTTCTTTCTATCTCTAACCTCATTTGAGATATAAACAAAACATCCTAATTTCGGTCCCCGAAAACAGTTTTGGTGCCCTAGGTCCCTAATGTTTGGTACCATTATTTTAGACCCATATAACAAATGTAGATCTCTATAAGACACACATATTCTCCATTACATTTTTTTAGCCATTTTTTTAAGTTTTGAGCAATTCTGATAACAAGGTAAGATCAAAATCTAGGTCACGACCTTGACCTATGATCTTGTTCTCAATTTCAAGATCATGGATCATGGACCTCATATCAAAAGGTCCTAAGTCTTTACGACATACAGTTCGTGAGATTTAGAGACACACCGCATACGTTAAATATTTAAGGGGGATAACTACTATAAAAAGTAAACAGATAACGTCGGCTCATGTTACAAACTTACACTATGTCCCAAGCAACAAGTAAAAAGATACCTTTGTCGATATCTCTTACGGTTTCTGAGGAAAAGCGATTACAAGGTTTTCGGTGTTCATGTAGATAACTACTTAAAGAAAATGTTACGGCATGGAGCCCTAACCACAATATAGCTTTTGGTCTACCGATACTTGATACCTAATATCATTTCAACATGTGGCGTACTTTGTTTGGGGAAATGTCGTTTAAGTTTTACGGAAAAAGAATAATTATCAGAAGAAATACAGTAAAGTCTTTCCTTGGGGCGAAATCTTTTGCTTTCAACTTTTTGTTTACCCGTCATTTCTATTGTAACTGATATTTACTTGTGTTTTTATATTTCTAAATCGGTTCAGGACTGTTGAATATGTGGAAACATTCAAAAGCTGATAGCATCGAGCATTTGTCTATCGTAATATGGCACATTAACTTTGAGTGTTAGAATTTTCTAAAACGCAATTTTACGTGTTTTTGAGGGTATCAAAGGGAGATTTCCAACTGTCAAAACGATTTCGAACTCATCAGCTGATTTTATAGGTAAGTACTTTTTAAACAATAGAAAATGACTTGCAAAAACCGTAAAATATTATTATTGTGCTTGTTAATTATTGTGTAGTTTTTTCAAATAATATGATTATTATTTCATGTAGCTATTTAGCCATTTATTTTGTGAGACAACACTTGGTATTTTCCATTTCAGAAATTGCAAATTGAATATGCAAACAACTATTATTAAAATGGAGATTCCGAACAATCATTTCAATAACAAACAAAAAATGAAAGAATCGCATGACTTCGACAGAGTGGGCGTCTCTTGATATGGAGACCGTAAAATGTTTGAAGTGTCGATTTCAGTTGTTCTTTTTGATAACTCTGATTGAGCAGTTTTTGCGGAAGGAGCATATCCCTTTTAATGAAGTCCGTATAGTGTGAAATTGCAGGAGTGCAACGTATCAGTCGAGATATATTAACGCAATACGATGAGGTATAGGGTATGTTACGGCTGAGACTTGAGGAGTTAAAATAATCCATTTGTCGTCGACTCAAGTTGAAGTCGTCGAATTGTTTGAATATCGAGGAAAGATTAAGATGTAAAGCAGATCTTCTTCTTTCGATAGTACCCTTGTCCCAATACACAAACTATGAATTTTGGTATAATTGCAAATGAGACAACTATCCACAGAGTTCAAATGACGATAATAAAAGACATTATAGATCAGCGTAGGTCTTCAACAATAATAAAAATCCATATCGTATAGTCAGACCCTGACATGAATAATGTGAATCAATTGAAACCTGAAAATTAACGGCCTAATTTATACGATACAATTAATGAAAAACAATTATGACAGACATGAAACAACGAAACACTGAATTACGGGCTGCTGACTTGGGACAATCTACTATTTTAGTTTCTTATTGACAGTTTGAGTGGTTCGAGTTAGTGCTGTCTTCATCTTGACGGATCGCTGACTTAACATCAAAAATATCTGTCTGATCAACAAAAAGAAGGCATTTATTTGTATCTTATATTTTAAAGCGGGTAACTTTTAGACGATTGTTGTTCCTGATTGTCTTACGATTGTCATATTTTCAGTATAATAATGTAAACTCGCCATAATGATTCATCAAAATCCAAACCTTCTGCTTGACCACTGTTCTATTGAAACGAACAAATAATGATGATTGCTACTGTAACAATGTTTTCCCCGTTTGAATAACTTCAAAAGTACTCATGATGTAGCATATTACAGCTGACTATACGGTCTGCTTATCAAGCTCATTGTTCAATGTCATATGATAAATTATATTTGCTTAAATATATCTGATATGAACTCTGTTTGATAATTGTCTGTTTGATAGTCAAATCAAATCGCCTTAGTTTATATACATATTCAAAGGAATATTGTATTCAAGAATATTCACAGTTACAGAATTGTAAATGTCAACAATTTTCTGAAATGAAATATTTCCAAGTGAAAAATGATGATTTTTATTTATCGTCCGATTTTCTTTTACTGTTGTCATGTCGTTTTGCAGATCTTAACATTTAGATTTTTAGCATAGTTATTATGCAGCAATAAGATAAGTATTAGGTATGATAGGTTTTTTTTTTATAAGAGTCTATTTTATGTCATATACATAAACTCAAATGAGGTATTTTTATAAGGAGTTTGTACCCACTTAACGCACAGATACTTATGTTATACTTAAAACGTTAACAATTTGCTGTGTAAATTTAAAATTAAATTTGTCAGTTAGACAATACTAACTTAAATAATACACATAGTTAGTTATTTGTATGCATGCATAAGTAAGTAATGTGACACACAATTTCATTTTTTTCTAATATTCAATAATATTTTCTTATTACATATACTTAAATCTATATAATCTTTTATAGTTCATTTAGGCATAAAATATATTTTGCAGATTTAACTCTGTGTTTTCAGAGATAAACATATATTAACTAAAGGTACTTTATTACTGTTTCATCTAAATATCATATAATATAAATCTTTAAAAGGTGACCTTGTCTAGGAACTCATTGCATAGGATTTTTTTTTTCTAATAATTATTCAGTTTATTGCATAGGAAGTACCACTCGAAAAAAATACAGGTTTTTTTTAACTTTTTCTTCTCCTGCCAAACCTCTGCGTATACAGCCATACTATTTCAATCTGTCAGAATCGGTCGTTTACATTTTTTCTATTATATATTTGAAGCTAGATTTGTATCTTTTTTTAATTCCAAAAAAATTCGATCTTAGATACACATAACTATATTTAAAAAGCATGTTTATATTTTGTAAAGAGATTTAAAAAGTTTGTATATTTTGAAGCGTGTCCATAAAAATAAATGTATCGAAAGTCATATTATAAGTCATTCATGGGCAAATATTACTTTAAAAGATGTGTAGGTGGTTTAAATGAAAATAGAAACAAAAATAGATTCAACTGAAATACAATCCTCGACAGATCAAGTTGGCAGGTAAAGTGAATTGGAAATAAATTTTTAAACGCGTTTTAAATGTAATGACTTTATTGATATTTGTTGATATCTATTATCGTTATTTTGGTGTACATAAACAGAAAAAAAAAATAAAAAATGAAAGAAGCATACACCCCCTAACATTTGTTTTCTTTCAAAGCGAAAGTTCAGATATGATTAAGAATAAGGATAAGAACGGACATTCATCCATATATTTTCCTCTTTGAAATTAAAAAAAAAAAACGCGAAAACTATGATCCTTTTTGGTCTTTGTTTGTCAGATTGGAGAAAAAAAACATTACCTTTGTACACGTTAAGTCG